TACGTCACATGTGATTAGTTGGGTATTTTCGCCTTGCAGGTGGTTGATCAGAGGATATAACTGAATAAACGATATCAAAAGCAGACTTACCTCGGTATTCATGTATGTCTATTGGTTGCACACATGCAAACTTCAACCCCTCGTCGCGTGGGTCAGTTTGTCTTCCTGGGAGCTCAAATCCAATTGGTTTTGCTTCCGGTCACCTGACTCGCGGAAACCGTCACACGACGCTCTGTTTATAACTCAATCAACCTCGTGACCGTTTAAAATGACATCTTATAAATTCGTACTTCTCTTCTCTTAAGTCTTCATTGAGCTTTTATCATTAAAACCAGCGATATAATTTAACCCTTCCTGAAATGAGCTCTGCATTCCCACCCTTCCCCAACAGATGTCTCCAAATTCACATAACAAACCAAGCCATTCAGCAACCTCACAGCTAATATATCCCCAGATATAAGGTATAAAACACTTTCTTCGTGGAGGGTTACTATATTTGGAGACTCATGTAAGGCCTCATGCGCATATATAACCATTAAAGCTATCAGTATACAAGAAGAAAATGAAAGACAATAGATCAAAAGCTCGTTTCGCCTTTATTAAACAGCCGATGGCTGTTTTTGTTCAGTAAGACAGTTCTGTGTGGCATTCGATCAATCCAGTGACATCTGCAACCACAGACCACAGCTGTGCAACGTATGGCCCCGTTTCACAGTCATTGTTATTAACAACGTGTGGTAGGAGACACTTGCAGAGTCGCATTTCTCCCAATTTTCCGACAGGGACAGGAGGGCAAAGGCGTCCACCTCAGTTATGTCTGGCAAGCCCATTAATCATTTATTTCTTAAAACTAGTATCTATTTTATGTTACCTACTGGTAGGCCTACTACTTTGTTTTTAACTACTACTAGACTAATTAATCTGACAGTGAGTATAATATGTATACGTAAAACAAATGTAAATCGAGATAAGAAATGTTAGTGACAGATACTGTAAGCATAACTAAAAATAACAGCTAAAACCAGCCTTAGCTGGTTAGCTAGTTTTAGGTCATCCAGCTTGGTCATAGCTGGTCAGCAGGCTGGTTTTAGAGGGGTTTTGACCACTTCTTTAGCTGGCCAGCTAAAACCAGCTACTTCCGGCTTAAACCAGCTAAGACCAGCCAACCAGCTTAGGCTGGTTTTAACTGCTTTTTCAGCAGGGTTGTAAACTAGTACATAATAAATGGTAACTAGTAAAACTAGAACAGACCTTAGTCAGGGTAGCACCATGTTAATTTTTGACAGGAATAAAATCGAGGCTGTGAGGTTAAATAGAGTGCATTAAATTGACTGTACTGTTGTTTAACAACATACTGATTGTTCAGCTGATTAAATGTCTTTCAGTTGACAAGTAGACCATAAAACAGTTTTGAAAGTTGTGAGACCTTTGTGTACCATTGTAAGGACAGTTTCCTTCACAGCCTCATTTTCATCCATGTTAAATTCAATATGGCATCTAACCCAATTAAGGTCTATAACTGGAATACATACATAGTACCATAGAAATGTATAGGCAGATGCCACATTCGACCGCTCCAGACACATTGACGCATCCGCCATCTTGGAACTGTCAACCTATCGTCACTCACAGTAAAAATCAATAGCTGCATCCCAAATTACGCAATATACACTATGCACTTATAATACACTATGTATTTATGCAGTATGTACTCAACCATGTAGTGTATGAATTACTTAAGGTTATTTTGTCATTCATAATCGGATGATAGCCCCGCCCCCTACGCTACGTAATTACAGCTGCAACAGTTGAGTGCATGAGGTGCCCAATATTCCACACTTCATTTTTTCGGTTAAGTGTATCATCTGGGTATTTAAAGTGCACTTTTTCTTTTTTGTAATTTTCAGTGTGAACGCACTACTCACACTGTTTATCCAACAAAACAGCATAGAATAGTGCATAAGTACGCAATTTGGGATGCACCTAATGAGTTTTCCAAGATGCTCTGGTTGTAAGAAATGGATTAACCTTTAACAGGTGAGAATGTGTTGGTTTGTGTTTTTATATGTATAAACTTAATATTACAGGCTTTTAGGGGGTTTTAGCTATCAAAATTGCTCCAAAATTACATTTTGGCCGGTCCTCCTCAGTCTAAATCTCATTCCCGGGGGGCAGGGTGGTTCGCTTCAACCCGCGGAGTAAAAAAACAACCCGTGGCAACCATAGACTGTAAAAAAAACATGGACGTAGGGTCCGTGACGGCACCCGTAGGTTTCTAAAGAGCATTTTTGAAGCCTAAAGTGGGCGGAGACGGACATCGCCATCTTGGCAGCGCTTCACCGCGCGGCACTCTCGGATAATCGAAAATGGGCAAAGAGGTGGGACATGGGTGGAGCTGGTTGCTAAAACCACACCCGCCTAGCTCGACGGTGGTGACAGCAGCGGCAATCCACCTGTCACTCAAGTGGCCATGCCCTTAATTATGCAGAACTTTAAGACTTAAAGGGGTGGTTCACTGGGTTTTTTCTAGGCTTGATTGTGTTTATGGGGTGCAGTCTAACATGTGTTAAGGCTTCGTTAAAAAAAAAAAA